AAGCCCGTATCAGACTACGGATTGGGATTGGGATTAGATTGAAATTTGACCAATCACAGTAAAGTTTACTAATCTTAAGTTCAGTAACTTTTACTCTGATTAGTCAAATTTCAATCTAATCCCAATCTCAATCCGTAGTCTGATACGGGCTTTACTCTCATTGGCCAATTTTCAATCTAATCTCAATCCATAGTCTGATACAGGCTTAAGGCTCGGTCTACAATGGGTTGTTAGTCGTTAGTCGAAAATCAGAACTATATGTCGATCCTTTTTCTTCCACCCAGAAAGGAAAAGGATCAACCTATAGTTCCAACTTCTGACTAACGACTCATTGTAGACCGGGCCTTAGGCCTGGTCTACAATGAGTCGTTAGTCGTTAGTCAGAAGTCGCAACTATATGTTGATCCTTTTCCTTTCTGGGTGGAAGAAAAAGGACCGACATATAGTTCCGACTTCTGACTAACAACTCATTGTAGACCGGGCCCAACGCTTACGATATCGATGAAAGACGCCATTATTGAGGCGTCTCCCGTCTTTATCGTTTTCCGTTGGCACTTGTTTACATATACACGCAACTTTAACGCGATACTCCCCGGCACGGCGATCATACCGAATCCTCCCCCGAATCAGTCTTATCGTTATTGCCTCATCACGTTGATAGAACGACTAATTAACCAGCTTCCACAACGGTTATCAATTTGCCGGCCGCTAATTTTAGCCGGGCGGCGACCGGCGGCGACCGTGAAACGCCCTCGCGCGAGATATTCGACGTAATATCTCAATATCTACGATCTCAAGTTAATCCTGATTCAGTCCAGTTCAGTTTAAGTCTGTAGGGACGAGAATAGGCGAGTCCTACTTACAACTTGGAGAATTCCACGCGGACTGAAAGACGTTCAGCGCAATATTACAGTCACCAGCTTCTACAATGAATCTCCACCCGGCAGTCTCCTCCACAGAAGTCTGTGGTCTCCTCTCAAGCCTTCAGCGCAGTTGAAATAGGTGAATACCGGCGACCGTGGGCGACATGGAATCCTACCCCCCCCCCCCCCCCACGCGAGATTCAGCCACGTTCGTAACGTGTTTAACCCGATGCCGAAGCTCGCCGAAGCGGAATTCGCGCGGCTTCGGAAAGCGAAGCGAGCCGAGCCGAGCCGAGAGATGCGAGAGGCGCGAACGAATTGGCTCGTACAAATCAATCTTTGCATCGCCCGAAACTCGGCTTTACGTACATACACGGATTTGTGTTACGCATGCAGGAACGATATCCCGTGAGAATGGGAATTTCTATCGGTTTTTTGACAGCACATCCCCCGGTGAACATTTTTCTCAGAATTTTTATACGAATCGATACTTTTCAGAAATACTGAGAAGGCCCACTTCTTTTATTAGACTTTTTCACTTATGTGAATATTCTGACATATGAATGTTTGAAATTTTAGAATATTTCAGAATTGACACATATGAAAAATTTTAGAAAAGATACAGGGTACTTTTCAGCAAGAGACACAGATTGACACGGTGTAACACAGAGAATTATTTTATCCTTAATTGTTTAATAATGATAAACAACAAAGATAAAATGATTCACTGTTACAGTGTCGCCTGTGTAACACGTTGCTGGAAGGCGCCCATAAACTTTCTCGGTACTTCCGAAGTGTTCCAATTTGTATAAAAAGTCCGAAAAGCTTTGTGTAAAATTATAAAATTGTTGAGACCCATACCAAAGCTTTCAGAAACACTGCAACATTGTAAATTGCAATGTAATATTGCACAGACGCTTCAGAGACATTCAATTGTAATATTTCGCCGACAATGTTTCAGTAACCTTGTAAAAATATTATAAAGTTTGCAAAGTATACTTGTGACGTATTATAATAATGTTTAGATTTTTCAAATTTATATTATTTCTCATATATTCCAATTCGCAGACTAATAGCATGTACAGCAACGCCACTTAATAGTCTCGTGATTTCCGATATTACCGCCCTTACGGAAAAATTGCAACATTTTTTTCTTATCGCTCTTGGATGTTATTCTACGTATTAACACTCAAAACTTGAGTGTTAACACTCGATTGTCCGAATTTACTCTCAAATTTGGGTATAAATATTTAAATCTGGGTGTTTACGTCCAAATTTGAGAGTAAATTCGGACAATCGAGTGTTAACACTAAAAAACTTGAGTGTTTTTTCTGTAAGGGCGGTATCGGTAGGGTACTTCAGATTATAATAAATAAAGTTTGAGAATATTTAATAACATCCAAGAGCGATAAAAAAAAATGTTTTAATTTTTTCTTACACACACACACACATACCTCTTGGGTGTCTTTATATTCTCAAATTTTATTTATTAGGTTGTTCGAAAAGTTACATACAGTGTCTACAATAAAAATCTTAAGTATCTTGTATATTTATATAAATAACGCACAATGAAATCAATATTACAAATACATTGCACCGTGCCATTACTGCAATGTTACATTGTAATATGTCTGAGGGAGGACATTTCAATGTTGCCTCGTGCTTGCAACAACGTTGCTGAAACATTTCGCAACCTCCATACAATGTTATAATGTTGCAGTGAAAGGTGCATATTTCTGCAATCTTTTGGTGCGCTGTATGGGAAACATCTTAAAAATTCTGAAATTTACATAAAAATTATAAAACATTAAAAATTCCAAGAAAAATTTTCACCAGGGTTGACGAATCTCGGTTTAGCTCACTGTTTTAAAACTTGGAAAAATATGAGAGGTAATTTAAGCCGAGATTAAAGTTAATCCGCAGTGGTAGAAACGGGCGTAAGTAACGTAGAGTCAGACAGGGAGTTAAAGCAACGATGCGAGGGTTTCACTTAACGTAACATGAGAAAAGAATGAACAGTATGGGTGCAAAATTCATTTATTGAATCATGTAGTCTACACGAATTAGATATTCAGACTTGCTGAATATGTCTGTGTATGAAATTTGTGAAAGTCATCTTCGACGCTGAACGAAAGTTCGTAAGAATTCGTGACTGGTGACTTTGCTTGATTCATTGGACGAATCGTGTCTATAAAGGTGGGTCCAGACCAGTCCAGACATGTGTCGTATCGCCGTGTATCACGATCGCCTTTATCATGATACGAATACGCTGATTATGATGATACAGCAAGGTCCTGTTTTCAGCTCGTATCCGTATCTTTATTTTGTATCGTATTTGCGTATCATCTTAATACGTAGATACGATAGGAGACACGGATACGGCGCACCGTCCACACTAGGCTCATCATGATGCGATACAGTGATGCGACACATGTCTGGGGTTCGATTCTCGAATTCATTCGAAAGAGAAACGTATGTAAAAAATTCTGCCCTTACAGAAAAGTTGCAAGTCAATTGGCTGAACACTATGCGTATGGCCAATCAACTTGCAACTTTTCTGTAAGAGCAGAATTTTCACGTACGTTTCTCTTTCAAATGAATTCAGGAATCGAGCTCCTGGACCCGCCTTAACGATTACATAATCATATATACAGATATAACAATCTGATAATTAGAATGTAACATTGCCTGTTATAAAATCCCTTCATATAACAGCTCTACAAGTCAATAAGAAGTCTACCGTATAAAAATTCTGTATAATAAAAACTTGTAATAATCGCACGATACAAATATACATTCTATACCCATCTTCCCCACATATTGTGATGCTCGATACAAAACATATACGTATTTTAATGATTATTGAAAGAGAAAGCATATATACTCGAGGTGTAAAATATATCCTGACAAGTATCGTTATAAAAGGGGTATATTTATCACAGTAGTCTTGATTCGCGTCTCGCACGCGCGCTCTCCTAAGTGTTGAACATCTGCCCGATGAGGGAGAATCCGCTCCTGACGGCGGAGCTCATCTCGGAGATGTCGACATTTGGATGCAGACCCGGCGAGACGACCGTGGTCGTCGCGTTGGCCGCCGTATGCACGTTCATTCGCTGAACATTATCCATGTAGCCCTTGTTCGCTTGCACATTCAACGTGCTGTTGATGACATTTAGGTGAGCCTGAGGCAGCGTAGTGACGATGGGAGAGACAACCGAGGAAGTGGACGCCACGGAAATGCCGCCGGTGGTCTGAGGAGACTGATTGTAGGAAACCTGCTGCTGCTGCTGCTGCTGCTGCTGTTGCTGCTGCTGTTGCTGCTGCTGCTGTGCGTTTTGCCCAACCCCCGGCTGATAATTATTGTACTGCGCCTTGCACTTCTTTTCGTGAACGAACAGACTGCCGGAATGGCTGTAGGCTGTGCCGCAGATCTTGCACGCATACGGTTTCTCGCCCGTGTGCGTAAATCTGTGCTCCTTCAAGTACTTCAACCGGCGGAACGACTTGCCACAGGTTTTGCAGTGATAATTCGCTTCGCCGGTGTGCGTGGTGATGTGGGCCTTGAGAGTGCACGACTTGGCGAACGCAGCGCTACAGTACTGACAGACGAACGGCCGGTCGCCCGTGTGGGTCCTCTCGTGATTGATGCAGTTCGAATTGGACGTGAAGCCGCGGCCGCAATACTTGCACACGTGCGGCTTGTAACCGGTGTGCGTTCTCATGTGGAACATGAGGCCGGTGTTCTGCCGAAACGTTTTGCTGCATATGTGGCAGAGGAAACGCTTGAAGTTGGCATCCTGCTGCTCCTTGGCGCGCTCGTGAATTCGCAGATGCTTGTGCAGTTTAATCTCCTTCTCGAACGACTTGTTGCACTCCTCGCAGGTGTACGGCTTGGATTTTTCGCCGCTCCTCTCCTGAGTATCCCTGCACGTGCAAGTGCACACGGCGCCGCAGCTCGCGCAGCACTCGTCCCGCCTGCCGTGCGTGTTCATCTGATGCTTCAGCAGGGACTTGTTCGTGTCGTACGACTTGCCGCAGACTCCGCACGGGAAGCCCTTGCCCTCGTTATCGGAGTCTAGCTCCTCTCTTATCCAGGTGTTTATCAACTTGATCGCCGACTTGTCGTCGGGAGGCTTCTGCGGCTCCGAGCACACCTTGCTCTCGTCGTGACCGAACCGGTCCATGTGGCTCTTGAACCTGTCCTGTCGGAAGAACTTCATGTTGCAGACGTTGCAGACGTACCTCCTCTCGTCGTGCGCCAGCAGGTGACGTTGAAGCGACCTCTCGCTGCGGTAACTCTTGCTGCAGTGTTTGCAGTGGAAGTTCGTGTCGGCGAATGCCGACTTGGTTTTGTCGTCGTTCGAGTCGCTGTTCATCAAATCCGAGTCCTTCTGCTCCGCCTTCGCGTTGTGGCGTCTCCTCAACTCCCTCGTCGCGCCGTCGTTCTCGCCGCGCGACTGTAGGTCGCGCGCCGGTTCCTCGTCCGCGTCCATCGTGAGCGGCGTCTCGAAGGACTCCGGATTGTTCTCCAATTTCCTCTTGTCCCGTATCTCCTTCAATATAGAAAAAACATCCTTGGGATACGCCTTCTTGTGGGTGTTGAGGTGCCTGACCATTGTATCGATCTTCCTGAAGCTCTTGTTGCAGATCTTGCACAACACCGGCTTCGGCTTCTCCTTCGCTCTGTGCAGATTAACGTGCTTATGTAATTTGTCCAGACAGAAGAATTGCTTATCACAGCTATCGCATTTGAACTCTTTATCGTTATGGGTCGACGTGTGTCTATCTAAAGACTTCTTACTGGAATAAAATCTATCACATTTCTGACACTTATACCGTAACTCCAGCTCGGACGTTCGGTTAGTCCCATCGCCTCTCGCCTTCGTCTGATACTCGCTGTCGCTGCTGTCGCGCTTCGCCCCCACGCTCTTTTTGATGTATCGCCTCTGCCTCTCCTTGTGATTCCTCAAATTCTCTATGGACGTGACCCTCTTGAACATAGCTAGTCTCCTCGTTCTATAGAGATCCTTCTTAGCTACTTTGTCATGTTCCACTTGCTTATACCTACTACCGCAGTCTAAATCTGTCTCACTGTCTACTAGAACATCCTGCTTCATTTGTTCCAAAGTATCTGCCATTTGTCCCGTGTCATCCGATTGCACGGTATTCTTCTCTACATTAACTTCACTGTCCGCATTTAACTCTGCAACCTCCGTATCGATCGCGTCCAAGACAAGCGGCTGCTCGGTCTGACAACACTGATCCTGCAAAAACGAAAACGGAGCTTGACCGCCTGAACGCCACTGAAATTCTCTTAAGGGGATCCTGGAGTGAACTTCGAAACTGTCGATAATTTAAACGTCCTGTATTGTCACTCGGAACTGCAAAGATCAGAGGGACCGGCAGGGAGCGGACCTACTAGTTACACTACGGTATCCAGCATCCCCTTGAGCCTCGTGTCCAAGTTCTGAGAAATGTATAGTCAATCAACTTGCACTTTTTACGGAAAAGCTGTGAGTTAACTGGCTACACATTTCTCGGGGCTAGAATCTAGACAGTTTGTGGATCGTGGACACAAGGCTCCACTCGCACGGAGGAAAAGTTACTTTTGTGCGAGCGCAGCCGCCGGCGACGCTCGTCCTCGAGGCTTTCCCGTACAGCTTCCTGAGCTCCACGTCCGTTTTCTGGCATTGTCTCCTCAGCTCGTAGGCGACGTTGACCTTGACCACGCACTCAAGACAAATGCTAGTGGGCAGGCCGTCGTCCTCCAGGACCTGGAAGAGAGAAGAGAAGATCGAGTCGCGACGTAAAACAGGTAGGAGGTAGCCGGTGAAAGACAAACCTCCACGCCGCAGCAGAGCCGCAGCTTCCCCGAGAGCCCGGAGGCCTCCCAGTTGCCGCGGAAGATGCACTGGTTGCTGTGGTCCTCGGCCAGGCAGACGCGGCAGACGAGGCTGGTGTCCGGGTTCAGCCGCGGCAACATTCCGCTGTCGATCTGCATGGGAAGCGTGCGCGCTCTCTCTCTCTCTCTCTCTCTCTTTCTCTCTCCTATCCGTCGTCGTTTCCGGGGAAACGCGAGCGCGCCCAACGTTCTACGACGCTTCTTCACGAGCTCGGCGAGCCGCGGCGCGACGTCATCGTCGGGAACTCCGCAACGCTGACCGCCCACCAGTATCGTACACACAAACACGCTGGACTCCACTTCTCTCTCCCCCAGTGCGTCCCTGGACGCGGCGGAGCCTCCTCAGCCCCGCCTGCCGTCGCACGCTCGAACTAGGCCGTCGTCCGCCGTGTGGTGCGCGCGGTTTCCAGCTCGGCTCGACGCGACGGTCCCGACGTCTCGAGGCATGCTGTAGCCGACGCGCCCGTCCATCCCGACAGTTTTTACCACGCCGTTACAATCCGCCGTCGTCATGCCCGTAAGTTTTCGCGCCCCGCTGGCGACGCCCGCCCGAGTAAACGCGGCGACCCGGGGCGTCACCCGGTTTGACATAACCAAAGTGTCGTGCGTCACGTCACGTCTCTCCCTGCGGCCTGGGTTTCTGCCGTCCTGCTCCCGTCGCGGTTCGTTAGGTCCAACTGTCTCGCGTGCGAATTACGTCTCCTGGACGACGAGCGACCCGTCGACGGAGCGGTAGTACGGGGCGAGCGTGTCTCGTAGAGTTTACGGCCGACCGGATTAGTCATCCAGCTCGCTCGCGGTACCTCGAGGGTCTCTTGCTGATACGGACCGCTTTCCAGCGAGATACAGGCTGATGGCAGACAGCTATCCGTAAGCGCTTAAGACTGACGTAGCCGTAGACTTAAGGTAAGGCAGAGAAAAGCGTAAGCCGTGGAACACGTGTTCCTTACGGCTTATGTTTTTCTCTGCCTTACCTTAAGTCTATGGCTACGTCAGTCTTAAGCGCTTACGGATAGTTGTCTGCCATCAGCCATAGGCTAATGGCAGAGAACAATCCGTAAACGCTTAAGACTGTCTCAGTCGTAGACGTAGAGCGAGGCGGAGAGAAACGTAAGTCGTGAAAGGCTATTGTGTACGACTTGCGTTTCTCTCCGCCTCGCTCTACGTCTACGACTGAGACAGTCTTAAGCGTTTACGGATTGTACTCTGCCATCAGGCCCGGTCTACAATGAGTTGTTAGTCGTTAGTCAGAAGTCGGAACTGTATGTCGGTCCTTTTTCTTCCACCCAGAAAGGAAAAGGATCAACATATAGTTGCGACTTCTGACTAACGACTAACGACTCATTGTAGACCGGGCCTCAGCCTTATGCAGATCGACACAGTGCAGCACGCAGAATCGCTTCGTCCTCGTTTAATAATGGCAAACGATAATGCGATTCACTGCGTTACGCAGTGTCGCCCGCACCCCATGGTTAATTTTAGTAAACGCTAATTCGAGGGAACAAGGGGGGCTACGAGTCATGGAGAGAGCGTTGGTGTTTAAATAATTGTTATGAATTTAATTAGACAGCACCTCTTGCCCTCTTGTTCCTTCGAACTTGTGTTTAACACGTCTGAGCCTCGTGCGTTTATAATCTTATTCGCTTCACTGCTGCGCAGCCAAGGAGTGGAACTTTGTTACAACTCGGAGACTTGGTACACGCTCGTCCTTCCTCTTTCATTCACACATTTGCGAGTAAACCTAGCTTCAAAATCCTTCGTCTGAGGCTGCGGTCAAGCTGTCGCTTCAAATGCTTCAATGTATTCTTCTCCTTTCTTTCAGAAAAGATAGAAGAAGAGAAACACCTGGGAACATTTGCAGCAGCGGCTTGACCTAATTCTTCTGCCATACTTAATACATAATATCTCCCTTTCTCTTGTTAATTTATCTGTCTCGCTTTATCTCTCGCTGATGCCGTTTAAATGTTTCAGGCGTATCATTCGAGCTTCACCAAGAGCCATGGCACCATCGGGAACATGGCGTTGCTGCCAATCAAGACCACATTCAGGGGTCCCGCGCCTCCCTTCAACAACAAGGAGCAGGACATCATCGACGAGGCGTTGTATTTCTTCAAAGCCAACGTGTTCTTCAGAACGTACGAGATTAAGGTGGTACACTTGTAAGGGCACGATTCTACCGCGAGACGATGCGACTCTATGCGTCGGGTTGTGCTTTCGTTGCAGAGCGAGGCCGACAGGGTTTTAATCTACATCACTCTATTTATTACCGAATGCCTGAAGAAGCTGCAAAAGTGCGCGACCCAGCCGCAAGCCATGAACGAGATGTTTTCCCTAGCAATCTCCAAATTCGATATCCCCGGCGATCCCGGTTTCCCCCTCAACTCTGTGTATGCCAAACCGAGCAGCCCCGCGGAAGCTGGTAAGCACCGAGCGCAGCTTGGAAATTAACGAATAGCAGTAAGCAATAAGTCACGCGTGCGTCTACCGGACGGTACAATGTTTCCTTCGATTTTAGATCTTATGAGACAGTACCTTCATCAAATCAGGCAGGAAACGGCAGTTAGGATTGTTGAAAAAGTATACGGCGAGGATGGAAAGCCGAGCAAATGGTGGCTCTGTTTTGCCAAAAAGAAATTCATGGACAAGTCACTGTCTGGACCCGGTCAATGAGTTATTTTCCTCTACGTTGTTTCGAAGGTGTGCAAGATTGAAAATAAATCGGTTAAAAAAAAAACTTATCCGCCCCTCGTCGTGCATCTGCATGCGTTAGATTACAAATGCCTCGGAGAAAGGTTTTCGGGAGATGACACGTGGCACGAAAGGGGAGACGATAAACAAAGTTTTCCGAGCTTTAGGAAAGAGATATTTATTTTTTATACAGGATACGCCACGATATTGATACAACGTAACGCGCAGCAATAAAATGATGTATCTTGCGTCGCGGAGGTTACAAACAAAATAATTATCGCTTCCTACGGAGAGAAAGCGTGTTTCGTCTCTTCCAGGCCGCGCTGCGCGAGCCACCGATCGTTTGCGAATAGCGATGTCCTTTACCTAAACCGCGAGAGCTTCTGCCGGCGGAGGTCTTGCCACGGAGCTCACGGTGCTTTTGCACCGCGTTGCATATCCAATTTACTTTAGGATCGTTGCGGATTGCCTGGAACAAAAGCAGATGTTAGAGACGCGCGACGAACGGGTCTCCGCGAGAAATGATTCTTGAAATTTTTCTCAGACATCCAAGGAAGAAAAATGAATCATGGGAATCATTGGTGATTTATAAATATCATCATATCAAATACGAAAAGGTATATAAATTCATGTATAATAATGGCGAAACCGTAGTTTTACTTTTCAGGAATAGCTGCGTTCGGCATTGCAAATCTGAGGCGCCGGAGGGCTCCCTTGCGTTCGTGCGAGCGAGAGAGGAAGAGCATTCCGACGCCTCAGACGCGTAACGCCGAGCGCAGCTATTGCCAAGAGCTATAAACTGGTTCTGGATATTAACCTTGTGGGCAGGGTCGACCAGAATCACTTCATAGTATTTGTACGAAGAGTCCTGGGCTACCCAGTAACTGTTGAGCACTCGCAGTCCACCGCAACGACGGCCGACGCGCTCCTGCAAAGAGACAATTATTAGTAAAGGGTTCTGGTAAGGAGGGGAGGTAATTTTCACAACGGCGGCTTCAGACATCCAAGGAAGAAATAGAATCAACGTTGTTCATTAGAAAAGCTTCATCATTTTTACTTTGTAAAAAGACTAAAGAGCCTGTTCGTGCGTTAATTAATATTAATGAAGATCCAATTCTTGCATGTCTGCGATCAGAAGGTACAACTGTCTCCCCATTTCAACGTAAGAGTGGTGCATGGTACAATTCATCACACGAGATTTCCGCGATTTCTCTTTACGCGACTCGACCGCGCGCGCTCGGAGCATCTTACCTCGGCGACTGACTGCAGCTTCCTAGTCGGTTTCAACTGGTTGACACCGTGGCTCTTGGGCTTGCCGTAGGTCGCGCCCTTAGGGACCGGACGCTTGCGTCCACCGCGGCGTACGCGGATTCTGAAGACAACAAAGCCTGCACAGAAATAAGACGTGGCGTTTACTCTCTCTTCATATATCGTGCGCTCGTCGCGCGAGGTTAACTCGTCGAATACATCAGCAGACGTAGTAGGTATAGCTCTCGTCAGAAAACTGTCAGAGTGGTGCAAGTCCAAAATCATCATTTAACGTTCGTATAGAAATTCCCACGCGTTTCGACGCTAGGTGCCGTAGCTTAGTACAACTACCAGTAATTACATTGAAGAATTGCTCATCGGTTCAAGTAAAACCTGTCCACAGTCGTGGAGTCGTGTTCGTTCCACGAAAAGTAAAGCGTGTACAAGAGACATTGAAATCTAAGAAAAAGGAGAAACACGATGTCTCGAGGATCGCCACGAGTAGCCAGAATAGGCACATGTGCGTTTCCACTGTACGCGCCTGAGAAGCGAACGTTGTATACAGACGTTATTTATCAAACCTGAGCTCTTAAATATCTTCGAACCATAAAATCGAATATTTGTACGCGAGCGCGTACTTTTATCGGTCAGCATCTTACCTTGCTTGGCCTTGTAGCCCAAACGACGGGCCTTGTCTGGTCTGGACGGCCTAGGCGCACGGTGCATCTTGGTCAACTGGCGGTACTGCCAGCATCTGACGCGCAGCAAGAAGCGGAGCACATCGCTCTGCTTCTTGCGATACAGCTCCTGCATATACTTGTACGCGCCCATCGCGAGTCCCTAAACACGAGTATAGAACAGATGGTTAAAACGCATTACTGGATCCCTACGTTAGGAAAGTTTCGTAAGGGCGATTGTTTCTTTCTCCCACGAAAGGCGTTCGAATCCGTTATTGCAGTCGGGGATGCCACGCGAGGGAGAGAAACATGGAGAGCACGAGTGCGTCGGGCGCTTCTCGAGGTTAGAGTTTCCGTCGCGGCGAATATAACGAGACGACGGAAAGATTTACGAAAATACGAGGGGACCTCGAATTGAACAGCCCGACGAACAATCTGCCAGCGTCCCGGCGCTCGTGAAATCTAGGATGTCCGTGATAAAACGCGATTCCGAAGACACAGCACTCACCCCACGCGAGTTGGAACAGAAGGAAGGAATCCGGCTATTCCGGCTTTCGCATGATGGCCGCTCTACAAGATGGCGCGTCCTTCGCGGCAGAGAGAAGCCTGCTGAGAACCATAGACTTAAGTTTATGCTGAGAACTGCCACGGACACGTTTATCGTGATTGGCTAAAGAGGGTCAAGGGAGAGCGTGGCAGATAAACCGGAAACCGCCATTTTGAGAACAATGAGATCGTATTAAGCGCGGTTTTCAAAAGCGTATATCCCAGTGAGAAATGATTCGTCGATCGCCGTCGAATCGACGTCAGTTCGACGGTGTCGATGTCGATTCGACGTCGTTTCGACGTCGATCGACGAATCATTTCTCACTGGGTATATAGTAAATGTGAAAGAACATTATCTACATTGGTAAATTAAATTTTTAAAGATTGAAAAGAATACAAAATAAATAATCACTTATTATTTTTTTATAAAAGTTTATTAATTTTAACAAATTATTTTAACGCGAAGAAAGGCTCGAGGATCGGTCGAGCAAGTCGAGTCTTCCTTGCGACTTGCATGTATTGTTCTCATCTCACTTGCTTCTATTACTGTCTTGCTCGCTCTTGTTGGCATCTCGTTCGCTCCTAATGCTATCTTGTTCGCTCTTATTTCTATCTCGTTCGCTCTTACGCCTTTTCGCTCGCTCGCATAACAAAAAATCAACAGTTCTTCTCTTATCGACATTTCGTGCACATAACACAGAACAGACCAAAATTGTGCACATCTGCGTTAGCCGCTTGCCCAAACGTGGACATTGGCCACGTAATTCAACGTCCACGTTTCAAAGCTGTTAGAGGACGTATCTCTTTCGGCAATCACAAAAACCGGAGCCTCTTTGACATCGCTTCTTTCTATTCACGGTCTCCACCAGAGAGAAGCCTGAGTGCGGCCGACGTTTTACTTGATACCGTTTCGGGAGACTGTTTTGCGCGCCCTTACGCCCATTTTTACTTTTGTAACTATTTTATTACGCATTTTTTTACTCTGCCGATAAAATTTCCACTTGGTGCATGTCTGTGCTATGCATTCTGACATTTAATTTATAAAATTTACATTGTCTACATGCGAAAAGTTGATGTAAATATCATGCAGATAATTTATGTTAATGTAATTTTGAATTTCACAGCACAATCCTGAAAAATAGGCGAAAATCTCGACCATCTACGCAACGCGATCGTTTCCTACGAACCGTAGGCTTATCGTTGATTTTTACGGTGATTTGTCGAGACGAATATCACGCATAATTTGAAGTAGAAATACGATAAGGGAATTACATATACAAATTATTAGTTAATTTCGATACATCCACGAGCGATAATACCTTTTTTCACGATCAAACTCGGTTGAATGTCTCTCACGTCGTGCTTTAAAATTTTGTCGATTATTGAAATTAATTAATCGCGAAAATTGTTGGAATTCGGGCGTCGAACGCCGAGCACTGGTTCCGAAAAATGACGTAGCGTCGTAAACACCTCGGTCGAAAACAGTTTTTTTTCATTGTGTCTAATCATTCGGCGTGACACAGTCGAGCGAAGAGGTTGTTCCGCGTATCTGTGCGTGGCTCCTCGCAACGCGACCGTGTTCTACTAACATTTATCAGTCACGTTTAATTAATTGTCGTGATTCGCAACCTTATCGTTGATTTCTGCGGTGATTTCTGCGGTCGAGACGAGTGTCATGCGTAATTTGAAGTGGAAAAGTCGCCTATTTAAATAAATCGCAACAGTGCGCGGCGGTTCGTCGTGTCGCGTCGCGTTCGGGAGTGCCGTTTATTAAACAATCGAACTAAAGACTTTTCAAAGCCCATTTGAACAAGTGTTCGTTAAATGTCCGTTTCTGTCGCCACACTTCAGAGAGCCCGTGTGTTTCAACTTACTCGTCGACTCGAAGTGGAGGCGAACGTAACGAACTGAATATGTTCAAATGGGCTTTATTAACGAAAGTGTATAGTATCGCGCGAAAAAGTGTACTTTTCTTACGCGTTCGCAAGTGTTGATGGAGTCTCATGGGAGGAGAGGACAACCTGAGCGGAGGAGCAGGCATAGAAAAAGCATCAGACATTGGCGGAGCAACAGAATCAACGTAGTCAACTCCGCTGCTGCGCATCAAGTCGGTGAGTGAGAAGTTTTAATGTTGAGAATCATTGAACCACATCGTAGAAATTATGCGAATAGGGCGAATGATCTCTTGATGTATTCGTCGAGCACATCACTGTGAACTATCCATTTTTTTATCAACATATATTGACATGTAAAGTGAAATAATATGACGTAAGATTCTAAATATTTTATCGAGAACGCTGAAACATGATAATTTATATTACTTTTTATTGCATTGTCGTATGTAAATTTTACGATAAGAGCATACATACTCAACATAGACAGCTGCGGCATGCGAAACGAAAAAGATTGGTTTTTGGTTCGTATCGCTACGTGGATTTTTCGCCGAGTTATAGCGTTTTAAAAATCGGGCGCGCGCGCACCATTCATGTCTGAAGGCCGCGCGAGTTTACGCGAGCGTACTACGTCCCCAAAAACTGGCATAAAAACATACGAGGCACAGCTGTTCGGTAGTAAACATCGTCGCGCGAAATGCCGCGCGAGACGCCGCGTATACGCGCCGTCTGCTGCTTCTAAATCAGGATTAAGAGATGGCGAGTCGATATAATCGTCAATATCTTCGCACAGAAAAATCGTAGGAAGATGATCCTGCTCTCGTTGGAAAGCTAAGATTTCAGCGCTTCTAACGAGATAGGAATCGCTTATCTCGGATTATTAGTTTATGAAATATAATCGATTAATTTTGAAAATAAAATTGATTTTGTCCCGAGATCGAGATCACGAGTCAATATAATTGTCTATGACTCCGCACAGAAAAATCGTAGCAAGATGAGCTTGGTCTCGTTGGAAAGCTAAGATTTCAGCGCTTCTAACGAAATAAGAATAGCTTACCTCGGATCATTAGTTTATGAATTGCACGGTTTTTTGTCGATAATCCCCTCCTCGGGTACTACCTTGCAGCGGTGAAGGGGCTTAAGTACCCCGAAGAATTACTCTCTAAAAATCAATCGGTGCATTATCACTGAATCAGTGAATATTCACAGTTTTCAGTGATAATCCATTGATTGATTTTAGAGAGTACATACTCTAAAGACGGGACAACCAAAGATACCCATTGCACTATTTAGGCCCGATTTTTCAGTTTCTAATAAACTGTTCCACAGTTTAATCGATTCTCTCTGTCTCTTCTTATTGTTAGATAATGATATAGAAAAGCATAGAGAGTCGAGTAACTTCGATATTAACAGTTAACCAGAAAATGATAAACCAGGCCTAACACTCTCTGAAATCTAATCGGTGGATTATTATTGAAAATAACGAATCGATTCACTGTTTTCATCGTTTCGACATCGATCGACGAGTCAGTTCTGATTGGGGAAGGAGGCTGGGCTAAGACGGCGACTTTTTATAATTAATAATTCGTTGGTCGATCAATATTAATTATATTATATTATATTATAGTATCTGTTTATCGACATTTTATACACATAGGACGGAACACAACCAAAACCTGCACATCCGCGTTATCCGCTTAGTCCAAACGTAGGACATTGGTTGCGTAGTTCATGTTCACGTTTTCAATGTCCACAGAGGGCGGATCGCGTCCGAGCATCGCGTAAAACCGAGTAATATAAATCTAATATTATATAATTATTGTTGTGCAATATTTACATTTATTTCATGACCAATATTGGCTTTACGTTGGACAATATCGATCAATTTTTAATATAACCAACAATGGACCAATGTGTAGCCAATGTATTGTGCTACTAGGGAGTAACCTCTCTTCCTACCCTGCCGGAAATAATTCTACAAAATTTTACAAAAAAAAATAAAATATCCTGCCGGGATCTAAAAAATTCTACGTAAATTTGAAAAGTGTTATAAAAATCAACATAAAAATGATAGGATTGGAACACTTTTGTTAATTTTTGTAATATTCTACAAGTAACCAGATGTTTTAATTCTTTAAGATTTTGTTGTTTCACAAATTTTTAAAACTAGTAAAGTTTTGTACTAATTTTTAGAAAATTGTACAACATGAAATACAACTTGCAATAATTTCTTGATTTGAGAACATTGTAATTTGTGGTACTATTTTGTAGATATTTTTACAAAAAATTAATTAAAAAAATAATGTTTCAACGAAGATATAAAAATTTCTACAAATTTCTATTTCAAGTCAATTTTTGTAGTTATTTATAGAAATTTTTTCCACAAGGGTAGCAATAACAAATTGTATCCCTTCTGCAATTCAAGATAAAGCAAGAGAGTGCATGTGAGAGCACGTTAAAATCTCAATTCTGAAAGGAAAAGAATCGCACAGAAAGAGGAAAAGGAAATCACGCGTGTCGTTGCCCAAGAAAAGACGTCTACGCGTCTACACGTTTGCCGTAGCACCTGGTTGCACCCCCGCGGATTCCGCGGCGACGAAACGGCGCGGTCGCAATATCGAGCGACCCGGTGACCTCTCCAGTCGGTGGAATTGATTATTTTCAGGAGAGAGAGAGGTCCCCACTTTGAAATATACGTAACGTCAGCTCGGCGTGACGCCGGCTAAGTAGTTCATCATGGAAAGCCGCTCGGGTAGCATAAAGGACCCGATGTATTATCCGGAGAACGACGGCACGTCGAGCGGCGGCGGCGGCAGCGAGCAACAAGACAAGAGTCAGCGCAGCTCCCTCGGCAGCCAGGAAATCAGCCTGGACGAGAACAACGCTCAACTCAAGGTACCGCGCAAATTCATCACCAATTGGCGGCAGGCGTGCGATCGTACGCGAGACCGGACCAAGGACCTTCTCAAGAGATGGAGAACGACCAGCAGCAACGTCGACGAGATCGCCGTCGCGCCCGTTGTCGCCCCCGAGCTGGAGCAGCCCAGCTGGAGCGTGCACGTCTGGAGTGAGTAATCTCTCTCGAGCAAGTTTCTTGTGACTAACTAAAACCTCCTCGAGGGCGCATTTTTTCTCTTTTATAAGCGCTTCCCTAACGGAAAAATTTCTAGAAATAACTGCAAAAAATTGACTTAAAATAGAAATTTGTAGAAATTTTTATATCTTCGTTGAAACATTTCTTTTTTTTGTAAAAATATCTACGAAATTGTACCGCAAATTACAACGTTCTCAAATCAAGAAATTATTTGCAGGTAGTATTGCAAATATATTGCAAGCAGTATTTTATGAAAATGTACAGTTTTCTAAAAATAAGTACAAAACTGTACTAGTTTCAAAATTTTGAGAAACAACAAAATCTTAAAGAATTAAAACATCTGCTTACTTGTAGAATATTGCAAAAATTAACAAAAACGTTTCAATTCTAGCAGTATATTTGATTTTTTGTAGAATTTTGTAAAATTATTTCCGGTAGGGTTATGACTCGGGTCCTAATAAAAAATGTTTAGGCCGCAATTGGTACTTAGGGGGGGTCAAAAGAGATTTATTCTTTCCGACGATCTAATCGGCAGTGGAATACCCTGTGCGAGATGATTCGTCGAAACGATGTCGAATCGAATAAAGAATGTTTAGATCGCAATTGGTACTTAGGGGGTCAAAAGAGATTTATTCTTTCCGACGATCTAATCAGTGGTGGAATACCCTGTGAGAGATGATTCGACATCGACTCTTGCGTGAGAAGATTATTTTGACCATATCTGGCATTTTTAATAATACAGAAAATTGATTGCGAAATATTTCGCATATATTACCTCAGCCGGGGTTTGAACCTGGACCTCCCTACACTCTAGACGGACGTCTCACCAATTCGACCACTGAGGCATAAATACATGCCTCAGTGGTCAAACCCAGGCTGAGATAATATTTTTCGCAATCAATTTTCTGTATTATTAAAAATGCCAGATATGGTCAAGATAACATTGACGTTGTTAATTACTGCTGGCGACATCGAAGAATATTCTTATTAGTTGATTATACGAGTAATATTAATTTATTTAATAATGTCGAATTATTTCGTTATAATAATATATTTAGTAAATAATTAAAGTTATTATTTACTGTCTGGTTAAAATTTACTTATAACATACCGGCATTAAATTAATCAGTTTCGGTTATTCCCGTGACAATGAGAATATTAATGATGAACCAAATTAAAATTAAACGTGTAATTAATTGTCGTGATTTATAGCGACCTGGGTGAGCCGCTTTCCGAGCGACGAAAGTTTATCCGCCATTGACTTCAGCAAAAGCGGTGGCTCGGAAGCCTTAGCTTCCATTCAGCGTGATAAATTCTCTCACTTTTTTACGTACCTCTTAGACCACGACAGAGACGGTTACGTCAACAGGAAGGATTTTGCACTACTCTCCGAGGTAGACTCCGCTTTCTAAAAATTCAACTTTTTATCTCAATTAAATTTAATTACGAAAGAGCTCAGTTTTTTTTTATTTTCTTTTCTATATTTCTGTGAAAAGAGGCAGGAAAGTCTATGCTAAAATAACACATTCTATTTGTGGATTAAAATCAATATGTTACGTAACAAAGTCGAGAAACATCGAGACGATACGGAAATAACACTCTTTTTTCGGAAAAGCGTTTGAGAAGATTCGCGGACTGGTCGTGGAACGGTCCGGAGTATCTGAGGCTTTTGGAGATCGAGAATGGATTCGCCGGATTGATCCTCTCCCAGGATAAAAAGGGGTCCGTGGACCCGGATAAGAGGATCAGTCTCGACGATTGGTTAGCGTGGTGGGCGCAGATCGTCGCACCGCCGGACGGCGCCAGTTACAACGATATGCCATTCTGGATCAAAGTCATGCCCAGAGTGTTTTTCCTCGCCATAAACAGCTCCGGGAGCGGGATGATCAGCAAGAAGGAGCTCGCGGCCTTTTACGGATCCGTGGTTGGTCTGGACACCGACAGGATAAACAAGTGCCTGGATATCGCGTACAAGTCTATGACTTCGGTTAGTTAAGATAATAAAATAGCTCTCGTGAGCAATTGCCGATTAAAATTACTCACCACTTCGAAATTTACCCAAACAGCGCGCATGTCTAAAAGACATCTTTAAGATGTGCTGTGTATGGGTTTTTATTAATAACGATAGGAAAAAATTGATTCTAGAATGGAGACCATCCCCTTGGCTGGGCGCAGTATCAATTAGTGTTCGCCAATTTCCTGTTCGGCCGCGGCCCGTTCGGTCCGGGGGAGCATTTCCTGGGCATGACGGACTCTTGCATGATTCGCGGTAATACCATACCGTTCCCCATCGATTATTCCGCGATGAACACACCGCGGGACAAATTAGAGGTGTACAGTCCCCATTGCAAGAGCAACCGGCGGAGCGTCGTAGTCTAACGGCGAAGCCGTCGTGGGAGAGAGTTCCTTCTCATTAGTGATGCAACGTGCACAATCATTCCTCGAGTGCCTAATACCGTGTATCATATGCCGTATGTGTTTGATATAAATTTTAGTCAGTCGCAGGAAGATCTCGATGTGAAAGGATCGAAGGAAATTATCATGTCCGTTTTGCACAAGTATTTTGATGAACAAAAAGCTCGATAACACATAATTAATGGTACCACATCGTGAACACCATCTCACTGCCATTTACCATTTATGAAAGCAGCGTGAGTACATCCTTCACACATAGCAAGCGTAAGTGTCTTTTAATTTTAAAATACAAATTATAGAGTACGGAACAAAACACAATGAGTGCTGGATCGCTTCGAAAAAGAGAAACGCAATGTAACGTCGAAGCGAAATTCACGAAATTTTTATCTCCATGGCACGTGTAGGAATGTCATGCCGTTTAACGAAATAAAAAGAGACTGTGACGTACTTACAAAATTTATTTCAAGCGCTTGGCACTTAGTACTTTGTACACGTCCAAGTCGCCACGACACATGGATGATATTACGTGAGAGAGACGTGATTTTTGCGCGACGTATCGATCATCGATACGCACGACGACGAGCAGTTACTATGTAAAACGATTATTGTTGGCTACGAATAATGATAAAACAACGACGACACCTCCCTTTCGATTATTTAAATATTTATAAACGGCTCTTCTGTCCCCCTCCCGTTTCTCCCTGCCACCCTCCCGATCCTACGTGTAATAAGGCATGTACGGAGGCACTGGATCACATATACTTTCGAACATCGATGTATCGTTCATCGTCCCCGAGGCAATCGCATCATTGCGCACGACGACGGACCGACGACGGAGATTCAATAAATGCACCAACAGTGGTTATGACAATCGGGTATTCTAGTACTTTGGTATTTTCCTTTTCTCTCGTCCGTTCTTTTCTTTTTTTTATACTGTCTTCGCCCATACCGCCAGCACATACGACTCGATCTCGCACTCGTTCGTTCCCCTTTGGATCTTAAAGAGCCCGTTCTCTCCCCAGTTGTGGCCCCAGGAGTTCACGACCAGCTGAAGAAGAGAGTAAATTACTTGAATCACTCGTAACTTCAAATCGAGACAATCCGCGACGTTCGCAACGCGCCCAAAAGCCGGGACATCTTTACGGTGCCATTCAACGATCATGTATAAAAAAATAATAGTCGCCGTAATCTTCTCGACTTTCTCTTCTCCTTAACCGTTACGAACGTTATCGTGTAGCAGTGCGATAATTTACCCAATATTTGTGTGGTGGGCCGCGATAAGACTTCTCCTCGCCCCAACCGATTATTCGCACCGAGTGATAACCGGAATCGTGCAATTCCACGCTTCGAGAATGCCTGTATATCCCGCTCTTGTAGATGAAGAAGTCCTGGTAGACTCTCATGGTGGCTACGAAAAGACGGACGTTACTTCACGTGTCCCTCCACATAGCACATAATATTACGTAATATATCAGTAATATTATAATATTGCAATGTAATATTACAGTAATATTACCGATATAATACATTTATATAATACATTGCAACATACATTAATATTAATGATATATTACATAGAAATATTACATATGTGTTATGACAGTAATATTGCTGCAATATATCAGATCCAAAGTAGCGCAAGATGATGTCAAATGACTTTTCAATTACGTCCCATTACGTTTTGTTACGTCATTAAGATGACATGAAGACGTCATTTAATGTCACGTTGCTATTTGGCACTTTGCAATGTATGTCGCATTCAAGTATAAATAAAATATTATAAAGGTAATTTGTAATATGACGACAATCATCTTCGAGAATGACTGCAAAAACGCACAATTAAACAATTATTGGAGAGATTATACAGCCTGTGGCCATCTTTTCCGTAGGGCCATCATACCCGGGTTTACCCTAATCTAATTCCTTGCAATATTACAGTAATATTACGTGATACATCACAATAATATTATTGTGATTATCACAGTAATATTGCTACGATTATCTCGGTAATATTTCATTGGGCGGACATTTTAATATTACTGTGATATATCAGTAATATATTACAGTAATATTTCCGATATATTTTATTGTAATATTACATTATTGTAATATTACATTGGAAATGTAATATTACATTGAAAATGTAATATTACGTGGTACATTACGTGTGGGCCCTTAATGTCGCACAACATTACGCCATCTCCCGCGGGACGTAACGATTCTAAATGTCAGTAAATACGCATTTTGCTACTACGATTGACGCGATCGTCTGAGTTCTGGCGGCTACCTTGCACGGGTCCAGAGGTGAGGATCTCCTGCATAATGTCAGTCTCGTTGCCCAGGCGGTAGGCCGGGCCGACCTTGTACAATTCTGTTCTCAGCGGACTCGGTGGGTTTCGACAACCGGCGGCCTTCAGGTTGCTTCTCTTACGTAGTTTGCATTGATCATTCTTACCGGTCCAAGGATAACACTCCTCGTCCACCAGTCTACGACGGGAGAATTAATAACGTTAAAGTCACGCGCTAAACGGAAATTCATCCTCGCGCATCACAGAGTACAGTACAAGGCATGTTTTTGGACATAATAAGAAAAACGCAGGATATTATTGAACGCTTTTGAGGAGAGAGAGAGAATCTCGGACTGTAGAAATGTACCCGAATTTTCGCATGAAGAGCCAGGCGCGGTCGAGATAACCGCCTCTGCAGCCCTGTTGTCCCCTGTTGTTGCAAGAGAGCAGATGCTGGGCGCTCAGATCCACGTCCTCGGCGCCTTTGCTCATAATCGAGAATCTGTCGGACGCGACGTCGGCCGTGGACATGGCCCAGGACGCGCCGCACCATCCTTGATCATGGACGCCGGATATATCGCGCGGCCAGCGCGTCCTGGAGTCGAACTCCCGTGGCAGCGCGTCCGGATCGTAGATGCGTCGCACCGGGTTCATTTTGTACACCTACGCAAAAGAAAACGGTAACCCCGGACGAGGTGACCCTGGGGCCTCTTTGAGTGCGTTCCATTTACCGTATATGTAAAGTATTGTAGAGGAAAGTCCCCCATTAGGCTTCTAATATGAGATAGCAGGTTTTCAACATCGAAATTCAATCGCAAATTTTTTTTCGCAACGATTGCACAATCTAACAATGAACTTTCCACGAAACAAATTTTTCGTGGATAATAAATTTATGATGCAACCAACAGATAAGGTCTGTTAATTTAGCGGAAACTCATATTAAGAATCTATCTCATAATAGAAGACTTTCCTCTATCTTATTTACGATCAAGGAAAAGATATTCACGTCCTCGGGCGCTGAATTTCAGGTACATATTTCGGAGAATTAAGGGATTCCGGCGTTGCCTGCAAGCAACACCGGGCGCACTCTCACTCATAGAAGCCCCGCAGCAAAGTACAAAGGATTACTTTGGTGGAACTTTAGCTTTGATCGCGCAAGCGACTGACCTAATCTTACGGGGCGATCTATACACAGGCAGGCGTGTTAGGAACAAGGTTGCCTCGCTTCAAATCCGTCGGGGTATAAACGAGAAAGTTTAGCCGCGCGAAAACTTTCCGACGGCCTTTTTTACTTTTTTAATTTGTCTGTTCCTGAATAATTTACATCTTAAACAACGTATTTCGGCCCGTGGCGAAGGTGCGAAGACAATTTATTGGGAAATATCCTGCGATTATATTTCGCGATAATTCACATGAAACCTTCGATCCTTTGAGCCACGATCTCGCGGCGACGATCCTCGAGTACTCACGGATTGCGAGGGATTGAGAGTACCCAAGCGAAGTTCCACGCCGTCCCGAAGAGTCCTCCCCCAGAATTCGGAATAATTGCCCGCTTGCCAGCCCAGAGTGAACTCTTGCTGGTTGACCTCCTCCATCAATTCCGGCTCGATCAAGCACCGATTCTCCTCGCAGAGCACTTCGGCGCGCTTACCAAGCGAGGAGCACTTGCTGCAACACGAATTGAACTTGCGAGACTCGCTGTGTCCTTCTCTCTCGCTCGTTGTTACATTGAATGGTAGAAGTGAGATATTACCATGCGTTACAATTAACTTTCAACGTTTGCCCGTGGTGGTACTCCCTTCCCTGGAAGAGGCACGACATTCCTGGAACGACAACGAGGTTTGGAGAACAGCTCGTCGTATCAATAATAAAAGTATAAACGGTCACGTTTTCGAATGAATAATTCCGAGTGCGCGGTCGAGACTTACAGCGAATTCGATTGCTTGCACCAGTGCGCACTGAGTGCACACTAAGGCCTATTTATAGTCAATTTTTACATTTAACTTTGTCTTAGATACACGTTCAATTAAGAGTATATACAGATCATTTTACTGGCTAAATATTTCAAGAGGTCGATACGATCTTTAAATATAAGAATTGACTGTAAACAAGCCTTAGCACTCAGCGCGCACTAGTGCAAGCAACCGGATTTGCTGTTACTTTCTTCGTAAGGAAGGTAAATTTCATCGTACAAATTTCATTATACGAATGCGCTATAAATAATTACATAAATACGTGGATGCATTACGTGTCTAATTATCTTGGACAAGAGTCCGCTAATGAGACAGACTCTAAATGTAAGACTGGGGTTTCTCGCAGATAACCAGTGTGAGCACAAGTTGCTTTCATATTGCTAACAAAAATGTTAGCATCTCGCTGTGCATCTATGTCATTTATTGTGCTGTTGTTTGCTAGAATTTGATGTCGGAAATGAAACATTTGTGCGCTTAACTACGACAATATGCTAACGTTATGCTAGCTGTACTTAAATCACTCAAACACTGAATTCATATTCCTGGCGAAGTTGCTGGCGTCAGTTGCTGCCATTTTATTTCCATACATTGCTTGAGCATACTGGCAACCCTTACGGAAAAAACACTCTGGTTTTCAGTGTTAACACTGAGTAAGGGTATCTGGGCTGTTACGTTGATAGTCGTCATCTGTTGGTTCCACCACGAATCTATTATCCTTTGAGTGAAATCTGTTCAATTCATTGCTAGATCATGCGTGCAACCGTTGCGAAAAAGATTTGTGAGATGGGAGATTGAAAACCCGCTATCTTATATTAGGAGCCTGCCTCACAACAAGGGACTTCCCCTCTATATTTGAATTATACGCACTCCTTATCTCCTCGGGACGCGGCGACGTGACGTTCTGCATCCCCCTGCAATGGTACCAGTAATCCGGACAGCAGTCCTCCTCGCGGGTCCGGTCGCAAAAGTCGTCGCAGTAGCACAGCGTCTTGAGGATCGGCGCGCTGCATTCATCCTGTCGTCCCGGGCAGCATCTTCCTCCAGGATACCTCGAGGCGCAGTACGGCCCCGGCGGCAGTCCAGAGAGATCCGGGATGCCTCGCGCGACGGAGGGTAAGAACACAAGGGCGATGAACACTAAATTTTGGCAGTGTGCGGTCCACATCCTGAAAGGGCCACTTCATAATGAATGCCGGATTTCGTAGAAATCTCCTTGCGCTCTCGTCTACTCTATGTACTTAAATTTCACGACGTACCCTTATCTAAGTTTAATCGAACCTCACGAAACTCGTCGGTCTTTTCGTTAACTTCGAGCGACACCGACGTCGCGTAACCAGGTGTGCTCGCTCGCGCAATACGAAGGGTTCGGTAACAACTGGCAATTGACAACAATAAACGCTGCCAGGAGTTAGCAATGTTGGGGCCGGCGGCGAGACGCGTCATCCCGTCTGCTTTGGAACGACTTCAAGGTGTTGGCCGCTTAAATGCCGCGCGACTCGTCAGGAGACATTCTAGAGAGGATGATGGAAGTCTTTCTAGACTTGTGCAACGTCTCCCCGCGTAACATCTCGCCGAACAAGCTGTTCGATCTGTCTCCTCGACTTTTGCTCCTTTTACTTTACAGCGCGCGCAGAAGTCGATCGAGTAGTTACGAAAATATGGAAGTTTAGTTTGGATATTCAATATAGTCAAGAAATTTTATGAGACTTGCGTCTTTGTTTGTTTAAGGGCCAAGTTCACAAACGTCGGTTAACTGCTGACCGAAGGTTTCATTGATTCTCTTTCTCTTCTTAGATAACTAGATAGAAAAAGATACAGCGTTAATCGCTCGTCGATAAAACCGTATTAAGACGCTTAACAATTTACAATTAGATCGAAACGATTCATTCGGCGACAGCGATTGAACCGGTTTTCGCGGCGGCGACGAGCATCTGCTGGCTGCACGATCGGTCCATGGGTCGTCTATTACGGATCACGTAACTTTGAAACGAGTGTCACCCGAATCGGCCGCATTATAATATTGATGAAATTCACCAGACTGGAACGAAGCCCCGTGATTTCAGCTTCCTGAGCCCGCGCGGCAGCCGGCACGCGCTTACGTAACGATACCGATTTTCCAGCCGATCGTACTTAATTAAAAATAAAGTATACTGCACCTCGTTGGAATCCGAATGCACGTGCGGACGTACGCGAAATTAAGTTTTCTCTTCTTCTAGGAAAAAGCGTTTGCTTGAAGAGAAATAAACCGAGTTTCCGCGCGTTCGTGAATAAACTTTAATTGCTTCTGACTTGGACAGCCGCGTTAGGGTGAATCGGTTCTACAAATTCGAAGTGGATCGATTAGAGACCGGGCGAGGAATCGCGGGACGCGCTCGCGAATTTACATAATTCGTAAAATATTATTATAATACGTGAAGCGCAAAATTATTCTACTCAACGATGCGTACTCCGATGCGTTCCTCGTTCTACATGCTTCCGAGAACTGCATCGACAGCTGCTACTGTGCGCGTGCAGACGAAGGATCTCTCGAGTGTCCCCGTTCGCGGACTCTCCGCGGAGAGACGAGCGCGTTCATTGAGGAACGGGCAATTAATGCAAATAATCCGTCCCCGCGCGGGGACGAACGTGCGAATAAGTAGGTCGTTCGTTTGACCCGTGTCTCTCCCCCCCTGAGATTACCACAAAGTGTCGTCGAGTCGCCTTCGCGCCGTCATCGACGCGACAAATGGGCGATTCACCCGCGAACGACAAGTAAAAATAAAAAAGAGCGAGAAAAATTATACCGCGCGATTCTCGATCCCGCCGCTTCACCCCGACGGGGAGAACGAAGAATATTAATTGGCGTAAAGGCGAGGGCAAACGGAAGATCGTAAAACTCGAGTTAAGAGCCCGCGAGTTGAATAAAAGAATACGGGTGCAACCATAGACATAGTAATACTAGACCGAGCATGAGACCCCCAGACCTTAGGAAAGAAAAGAATGGAAAATAGGTGCCGTCCACCTTTCTCTTTCTAACGAGAAGAATAGAAAGAGAAAGGTTGACGGCACTTACTTTCTATACTTTTCTACCCAACCTTCATTATTTAAAAGAGAACATGCTCGGTCTAGTATTACTATGTCTAAAACCCGTATCAGACTACGGATTGAGATTGAGATTAGATTGAAATTTGCCCAATTAGAGTAAAAATTACTAAGCTTGAGATTAGTAAACGTTACTGTGATTGGTCACATTTCAATCTAATCCCAATCTCAATCCGTAGTCTGATACGGGCTTATGGGTGCAACGGTGCGTTTGCGGCCGGCAGCTGACCGTGACATCAGCGTCGCACCCTACGAAGGTCACAATAAGAACAATGCTCGGGCGAGAGAGGAATGTTAATTAAAAACTACGAAGTCCAAATTAAGCGAGCTTGCTGCTGACGAACAACCCGAGGCTCCATCGCCGACTAGTTCTCTCTCTCTCTCTCTCTCTCTCTCTCTCTCTCTCCCTCTCTACTTTATTAGAAGAAAGTCTCCTATTATGAGATTGGATGATTTGTGTTAAATGAATAGGCATCTGATGATTTCGCCATGAATTTATTGCCATGAATTTGAAACGAAATCTGCTTAATGAGAAATTTATTCTTAGTTTGTGTAATCGTTGCGACAATATATTTGTGATTGAATTACGGTATTGAAAACCTGCTATCTCATATTAGAAACCCATCTTATAACAGAGGACTTTCCTCTGCTATTTTGTTTAGAACTTTGAATGCTTCTCACGATCATTGTACGATGTAACATGTAATTTGTAACCCACACTCCGTCCATTCTTTTTATAATATTCGTCTTCCTACGTTTTTAACATTGCTTTTCTTTCAATCAGACCGTACAACTAGATGTAGCTTTGTCTTAACGCTTTAGGGGACCCAGAGCATTTACTAAATAATGATCCGGTCTGATCTCTCTCTCTCTCTCTCTAGCTCTCTATCTCAAGTTAAAAAAAGAAATGAGCGAATTGAAAGAAGAGGCTGTCGATAGGCGAATTTATAAATCAGCGATATCCGCGCGTGGAATCTCGGCGCGCTGGATTTGCATCTTCAGACCCTTCTTCTTCTCTCGGAACGCCCGCGTCGTCCCATCCGTGTGGAGCCACACGTGAAAAGAATAATTTAGAATCGCGCCGCGTTAATCAACGTCGGTGCTCATTGACACGCAAATTGGCGCGATTTGTCACCCGCGATAAGGCGATAAAAAGCAAAAGTCGGTCAGCCGCGGCCGCCAAGAGGAGCTGCAGAAGTGTTTACGAATGTTTCCAGGGTTTGATCGATAATAAGCCGTAAAGTGAAAATGCAAGCGGCCTTCGCGGCCGCGCGCGACAGAGTCACGGGAGCGGCTCCTGGACCTGGTCCAAAGTTACATCATTCCGCGGGTTTCGTGCATTTCGCGCGATAGGTAATGGCCCGATTCGAGTCGCCGGACGCGTTATTAGGTAACTAACGTGTGCGATCGACGCTCAGCGGGCGTGACGCGACTTGCTGGCATGCACCGCGACAGTGGCGGTTTAATCTTGATGCACTTGAAATAGCATCGCCGAAAGTTCTCCGCTATTTTCGTTTCAACGCGCAGTTGGGGCCCCGCGGTTGGGACCACGACACGCGAGGCTCCAACAGGCTGTATTTGCCAGAATGCTAGACTGGTTACAATAATACGAACTCGGTCGAACAGCCGGACGGCAAGACCGACGGTATCTAAATGCTAATTAGTGTAAGTGGAGTTGACACACTGAGACAGACAGTTCGTTTAACCGGCCGGCTCGGAGACTGGCGCGACTCCAGGGGTATTTCTAAGGTTACCAAGGTTAAGACACACGGCTGCTCTAGGACCTCCGAATCAATGAGTCCACTTTAAAGTCAGCCTTGAAAATAGAGTCAATTTAAGGTCCCTTCGCCGCAGGGAGGATCGCAGATGGTATATTTTTAGCTGCGCCTTCCTCTCCTCCGGCATCTTATAAATTCCCTCTACCAAGGGTCGGGTCAACCTGTAGCTCGTAAGCGGGAGAACGTATCTCTCTTCCCTTTTTACATCGGTCTCCCTCGAAATATATCCAATTAAATGCCGGCGAGTAAAAATAACTCTTACTTTTCATTCCAAGTGAACTCGTTTTTAATATTTTCAGATATTTTTACACATCTACATTTTCCCATTCAAGAAATTCACACTCTCTAAGGGCAATAAAGCCATGATGGCACCAACAAATGTTGTCTATTTTAAAATACTTCGATGATTACTTGATCATAAAATCTATTGTATGTTTGAAGAAAGAACAATTTTATCTATCTGATACTTCGTGATAACAAGTTTGATTGCAAGTAGACGATTCTACTTGATTGACTCTCGACCACCGTGCAAGCATCGCCGATCGAACCAATTCTTTTTTCGACATAGGCCAATTTCGATGCCGACTATCAACTGGCGCGTGCAAAAATCAGGCTGCGAGGCGTGTTAGGTAACGCGATTCGCGCAACGCGTGATATTAAGCGGCCGTTTATCGGCGCTACTAACATCTATTACCGCATAACAAAGCGTTCTTGACCCGTTTAGCCCCATTAGCAGCAAATTCACGATGCAGCCGCGGTTCGATCCTGCCCACCTACAGCAATCAGACGTCCGCATGGACGTTAATTATCCGCGTCAACGTTCTTCGTGTCTGACACTCACCTCGCAATGTTGTCCGGTACGGGCGCGAACAAGGAAGCCGCGTGTCATTTTCAAAATACTGTTTTCGCAATTGCTCCCCGTCCCATTTTTTCACGTTGCAGTCCTCTCTACTACCTGCCTCTTCTTTCAATTCGCTCATTTCTTTTTTAACTTGAGAGACAGAGAGAGAGAGAGAGAGAGAGAGAGAGAGAGAGAGAGAGAGAGAGAGAGAGAGAGAGAGAAATCAGATCGGATCATTATTTAATAAATGCTGTGGGTTCCCTAAAGCGTTAAGACAAAGTTACATCTAGTTGCACGGACTGAATGAAAGAAAAGCAATGTTAAAAACGTAGAGAGACGAATATTATAAAAAGAATGGACGGAGTGTGGGTTACATCCCACATAGCACATAATATTACGTAATATATCAGTAATATTATAATATTACAGTAATATTATTGATATAATACATTGATATTATCACGAG